TTTGAAGGAAAGGAACTTCAGCAAAACCAGTTTGTACCCCAAACCCATTTCACCCTTATTACACAATTACACCCGAGTTTCATATAGTACATTACACCCCATTACACAATGCATACATTAAACAAAAATAAAAGTACTGCATAACTTGAGTTTTCCAAATTAATCAAAATATCTAAAAACAGATAGAAAGTCTTTATAAAAAAGATAGGAAAAAAATACAACTAGAAATGGTACAATGGCTGAAGCCATTGTGAGTGGCTGCATAGATGTCGTAAGGAAAGAGGAAGACGAGGAGGAAGATGAAGAAGAAATGTGTTGTAAGGTGCTGTAAGTGTTGTAAGTGCTGTAAGTGTTGTAAGGTGCTGTAAGTGTTGTAAGGTGCTGTATGTGTTGTAAGGTGCTGTAAGTGTTGTAAGGTGCTGTAAGTGTTGTAAGGTGCTCTAAGTGCTGTAAGGTGCTCTAAAGGCGCGTTCAGACCAAAAGCTTCAAAAAGCTTTTGACGCGCTTCAACTGACGCCGGGATAGTTTTGTCATTTTGGTGCTTGAAGCTTTTGACGCGAGTGACGCGCCTGACGCCGGTGGGAGGAGCTTCTCTGTTGCCTGTAGTCAGGACAGCGGTGGATTTTTCAATGAGCAGCGAGCATTTATTTGTTATATAAAGCAAAATAACGTTGTTGTAGGGCTTCAACAAAACATGTTCTGGGTTCACCACAGACTTGAGAGGCTGCAGTGTTTGCAGAGTTCCGTCATTTACTTTCAGCGGTACTTCCGCATGTCACTTGCCCAGTCTGAGTTCTCAAACCCCGGAGCTCGCCTCTCCCTGCCTCTCCCTGCCTCTCCCCGGCTCTCGCTCGCCTCTCCCTGCCTCTCCCCGGCTCTCACCCGCCCGGAGCTGTCTTGCTCTGAGCCAGACTCATCGTCAGCCTGTTCTTATATTAAATAAACTACGTTTACTACACAGAATGTGTACAATGATTTTTGTTACTCAGAATGTTACTACTCATACAAATAATATTACTAATAACAATAATGACAATAAAACAACAGCAGCAGATACATGACTTCTCTTCATGACAGAGACAGACCCTCTGCTGCTGCTGCTCCTCGTCTCCTGATTGGTTGAAGCCCGCGTCAAAGCTTCAAAAGCTCAGCTTTGCTCAACTTCGGCGTCAGAGGGATTGTTGTGATACGCGAGCGTTTCGCGCGTCAAAAGCTTCAAGTGAGCGCGTAGTACGCGCGACTCTTGAAGCTTTTGACGCGCGTCAAGTGACGCCGGGGCTCTCGGCTTCACCTGACGCGCTTCACCATTCACTTTCAATGGAAACCTGACGCTTTTGACGCCGAAGTTAAGTCTGGTGTGAACGCCCCTTAACTTATCGAGGACAGGACCATATCAGCTGTTGTTTATGTTCTGTTCCTCGTGCACGCGCCTCTCATTCAGGCTGCAGTTACACCTCTGGCCAGAGGGGGGTTCGTGAGCACAAAAATTGCAAACTCCGCAAGGCTCCTTTAAGGGCTCGACACACGGGAGGCGACATCGCATCGCCTCCATTCATTTTCAATGGGACGTGCGCGACATAGCGTCAATCGCTAGCGAGCCTCCTGCTCAGCGACGGGCGAAAAACGTGCGTGTGAAATCCTCCCGCTCGTGCATGTATCGTGCACGCGCAGGTCAGCGACGCGATCCCAGAAAGTTGAAATCGGCTCAACTTTTTGACGCTGTCGTCAAGCCGCATCGCGCCCCGTCTGTCATGTTATCTGAGCGACAGCGTTGAGTTTCGTTGATCGCTCTCATTTGTCGCCTCCCGTGTGTCGAGCCCATTAGGCATAAAGGCGCGTTCAGACCAAAAGCTTCAAAAAGCTTTTGACGCGCTTCAACTGACGCCGGGATAGTTTTGTCATTTTGGTGCTTGAAGCTTTTGACGCGAGTGACGCGCCTGACGCCGGTGGGAGGAGCTTCTCTGTTGTCTGTGGGAGGAGCTTCTCTGTTGTCTGTAGTCAGGACAGCGGTGGATTTTTCAATGAGCAGCGAGCCTTTATTTGTTATATAAAGCAAAATAACGTTGTTGTAGGGCTTCAACAAAACATGTTCTGGGTTCACCACAGACTTGAGAGGCTTCAGTGTTTGCAGAGTTCCGTCATTTACTCCAGGAGCTGCGTACGGAGGAGTTTCGCTTTCAGCGGTACTTCCGCATGTCACTCGCCCAGTCTGAGTTCTCAAACCCCGGAGCTCGCCTCTCCCTGCCTCTCCCCGGCTCTCGCTCACCTCTCCCTGCCTCTCCCTGCCTCTCCCCGGCTCTCGCTCGCCTCTCCCTGCCTCTCCCCGGCTCTCGCCCGCCCGGAGCTGCCTTGCTCTGAGCCAGACTCATCGTCAGCCTGTTCTTATATTAAATAAACTACGTTTACTACACAGCATGTGTACAATGATTTTTGTTACTCAGAATGTTACTACTCATACAAATAATATTACTAATAACAATAATGACAATAAAACAGCAGCAGCAGATACATGACTTCTCTCCATGACAGAGACAGACCCGCAGCTGCTGCTGCTCCTCGTCTCCTGATTGGTTGAAGCCCGCGTCAAAGCTTCAAAAGCTCAGCTTTGCTCAACTTCGGCGTCAAAGGGATTGTTTTGATACGCGAGCGTTTCGCGCGTCAAAAGCTTCAAGTGAGCGCGTAGTACGCGCGACTCTTGAAGCTTTTGACGCGCGTCAAGTGACGCCGGGGCTCTCGGCTTCACCTGACGCGCTTCACCATTCACTTTCAATGGAAACCTGACGCTTTTGACGCCGAAGTTAAGTCCGGTGTGAACGCCCCTTAAGTGTTGTAAGGTGCTCTAAGTGTTGTAAGGTGCTCTAAGTGTTGTAAGGTGCTCTAAGTGTTGTAAGGTGCTGTAAGTGTTGTAAGGTGCTGTAAGTGTTGTAAGGTGCTGTAAGTGTTGTAAGGTGCTGTAAGTGTTGTAAGGTGCTGTAAGGTGCTGTAAGTGTTGTAAGGTGCTCTAAGTGTTGTAAGGTGCTGTAAGTGTTGTAAGGTGCTGTAAGTGTTATATGGGGAGCAAAATGTTGTACTGGTCCAATGTAAGTCAATGGGAAAAGGTGCATGTGCTTTTGTAAAAATCTGAAAAAGTGCAAAAGATGGAAGTGTGAAAAGCAATAGCAATAATGAGACGGTTAAGCCGGACGTAACAATGCACAATTTGTTTAATTTGGTGAAGGCGTTGATGAGTTGAAAAGTGCCAAAATCTGGCGGAAGCCGTAAGAAGACAAAGACGGAATAAACAGTAGGATAGCATATAGACACTCAACAACTAAGTGTACTAACTACTGTAATACCAACAGTAATGTGATGAGTCACACTGTTTGTTATATGAACAGTGTAATAAGAGTGTCAGTGATGTAATAAGAGTGTCAGTGATGTAATAAGAGTGTCAATGATGTAATAAGAGTGTCAGTGATGTAATAAGAGTGTCAGTAACATAAAGAGTAGTTGTGTAATTGACCTCTAATGTAGTGTAATGTAATAGGGGTCATTTTTTGTAAAGTTGTGCATTAGTTGAAAGAGCTGGAGAATAAAGCTGTTGTATTGTTGGATTTACACTTTTCTTTACATGTATTACCTTTTGGGTCATTTGTTTGCAGTAAAATGATGTGGTTGTTTTCTTGAGGAAACTAGCTTTAAAACTTGTCATTACGTGTCATAGTAACTCATGAGAGGTTTCAAGACTTTATTGAATTGATTGGTATTTATTTATTGGTATGATTACTATGGCAACAACGCATCGCCAGTAGGGTCATACTACATAAGATTTAAAACTTTATTTCGGCATGAACAAGCTAAAGAATAAGATAAAGTTTCCTATGAATGGATGAATTTTATGTTTCAATTTCTCATAATGCTGCAAAAGCATTGTGAAATTAGCATTTCATATTGCAGCTGTTTTTACCAATGGCACGGTTTAGTTGACTATAAATGTTCAAAGTTAGAATAGCAAATCTATAAAACAGAAAATGCAACATTTCAAGCTCCCACTTATTTCAGTGATCTTTGAATGTTTAGATCTGTTTTAGGAGCTCCAAACTTCAAGATACCCAAGATTATTTCATGCATGTAAAATAAATGTCAGTTGAATAAATCTGATCTTTGATTTTCTAATGTAACCAGTAAAATTGCTATTTGGATTCATTCTATTGCAATTCATCTTAGCTCTGATGCTCACTTGATTTAAAGGATAAACAGAAGTACAGATGCACTAAAACCAGATGTAAATCAGAAGATACTTGTTTGCTTTGCTGATTGATAACCCTGGAACATGCAGTGGCTTGAAAAATAATGAACCCCCATGGATGTTTACACATTTTGTCACATTAAAAAGTGTGAAATCCCACAACAAAGAAGTATACACTTTTGAAGTGAAGGCAAAATTTTACATAATTGTATTGTATCCATTTTCAAATAAAAACTGCCAAATGGGGTGTGCAAAAGTATTCCGCCTCTATGAGTTCATAAGTTGTGGAACCCCCTTTTGCTGCATAGCAGCAAGTCAGCAGCTTTCAAATATTACATTTATCGGTCGTGTAAATTCGAACACTTGCAAATTTGAAAATGTCCAAATGGGAGGTAATCAGATTCAGATTCTACCTCACTGACGTGCAGACCCCAAAAAGCATTTCCTCCATTTTTTGGTTATTGATGAACAAAATTAGTTCTAGAAAAATCTACTAGAAAAGAATATCCAATAGCATAATATGCTGGTCAACCTTCATGATCTAAACAAAATAAGTAAACAAATATAAAAGAATAAACCACAAATCAAACGATGAGCGATGCACATCTATGGCCATAAACAATTCCACGATGAAAACGATGGCGATCTTGGTATAACAGCACTGTAAGCCCTCGACCAGCTCTTATAGAGTGAATTCAGAAGGAGTGACACCAGTGTATTATAAATGTGCTATGACATCCTAATTTTGGCGCAGAACTTGTAAACAACTTACCAATGTGAGTGTCAGTGTGGCCGTGTGGTCCAGGCACCTGGACGCTGACCTGCCTGTCGGGCTGCGGGATACATTTGAGACAGAACGAGTGCAGACAGGGCAGAAGTTTAGGCTCACAGTCTCGGTTCTGCAGACTTTGTTTACACACAGCACACGTATCCAATAAATTTATCCGGACATGGATCGGCGTGGCCGCTGGAGCTGGAGCAGAAGCAGGAGCAGACATCTCACTGTTCTGTCCAGCGGCTGGAGCTTCTGAGGCGGCAGCAGCGGGCTCCGTGGAGCCTGGGACGGGTTCGATGGTGGTGGTGGATGGTGGTTCCTCTGCCGCCGGCTCTACATCGGTGCCTGCGGAGTTAGAGGCAGGGGTCTCGGCAGGAGTAGCTGCCCTAGGAGTAGCTGCCCTGCTCGTGTTCTCTTTCCCGGTCTCCTCGGTGTCTGTTCCCGCGGCAGTAGCACCTCCACCACTACCCTCTCCTCCGTCACCCACGGGGTTAGGCGCCTGTTCTGCCATATCACCGGACTCGGTACACATTTTGTCCTGATCATTTGTGGTGGGTTCTTCTGGAGCCTCTGTTTTGATTTGCAGCAGCTCATTTTCCTTTACAAGAGGCGCTGGGTCCGAGTTGGCGGACGGATCCATCTCCTCCCCGCCTTTGTTATCCGCCATCTTGCTTCCTCTTTGAACCGATGCACGTACAACGTAACTCCAACCACGTGCTTGCGCGGTGACGTCAAAGCTCCTATTAGCATAAAGTCGATTACTCTACTGAGGTGTAATGTAATCGCCTCACCCTGTGTGTCTGTAGTTTTAATATATACAGTCTATGGTCTGTAGCCAGCTAGACAGTTTAACTTAGGTCCGTAGGAAGGATTGTTGTTTAAATGGGAGATGAGGGTCGGAAGATCCCATTCAAATGTCTAGACTCTAGATGATCCATGGTGTTTGTGAGGTATGCGCTCTCAGTGCTCATCCTAGTTTTATTATTTAAAGATAAGATAAGAGATCCTTTATTCGTCCCACAGTGGAGACAATTTCACTTGGTCCTGTCTGACTTTGCAACTTGACTTGTGTATGCATTATTCTGTTGTGCTAAAAAAAATTGTAATTTAATGCTATACTTTTACTTCATATTTTTTAATTGTCATGAATGTAGAATTGTTTTCATCTAAGTCAAATTTGCATAAATAAGAAGACCTGGAATAAAATCAACCGTCTTGACAAAAATTCAGATTCGGGTCTGAAGTTTGGGCAATACAAAAGGAGACAAAAATCCAGATTTGAATGGAATGATGGAATTGAATTTAAATAATACATCTGGTTTGCGATACCATATATTTGGTATTGTTATTGTGTTTTTTAGTTCCATATGCAGTAGTGTAGACTAGTATGTATGCACACTTACCAGAAGTGGATAAGAGTCAGTCTCATATCTCATTTTTGGGAATTTGAGACTTAGATGAAAAGACGAAAAAAACTCAATTTGATTTTTACTCGCTCCTTGTGATTCTAGGCTTCAATGGGACTTGAGATGTTTACTTGACTTGTGGAAAACTTGTAGTGTTTTAAATTCCAGAATTATCAATTATTTTCTAAATTAATAAGCAAAGCCAATGTACTTTTTTCTATATGCATGCAACTAAGTATTTCTTTTGTACCTCATCAGCTGTACTGTATCTGTGACTAATTAAAACAACTCCCTGACAAAGAGAGAGACTTGACTTGCCTTCACAGGAGACGGACTGAAAAACTTGACAAACAAAGAAGTTTATTATTTTTTAGAGTAATATTCATGAAGATCCTGTATATTGTTTAACTCAACAAGAAGGAAATTTCATGGACCAACTCATTACTGCATTTACCTTATTAGTTTGAACATTTTTTATACTTGGAACAAAGACCCCTGGGAGAGCTGACTGATAAAGATGGTTCTCCTGATCTTATAAAAAATACCTAAACTAGTAATAAGATAAGATAAAAATAGACTTTATTGATCTCACACATGTCACATTGGGCATAGATAGAACCACTCAGATTGTGCAAAAGACAGAAGTGTGCAAACATGTTAAAAGCTAGAAATACAGTCTGTGCAGGATATCATTATGTTCAATATAAAAAGAAGCAATAAAATAAAGCGAGGCAATAGCAGTGCAGGTTTCAGTCCTATAGTGCATTAGTGACTTGAAGTGAAATATTGTAACCAAGCTGACTTTAGAGTTACTTGTTAGATGGAGATAATGACGTAGTTTTATGTGTTGTGGTTTGAAAGTTAGGTGCCCCAGCTTTACAATCTCCTGCCTCTGTGTCAGTGGTCACAGTATGTTGCATGTTTTTGTAATACCCCAAATGTCCACAGGGGCGCTCCCACCCAGTTTGTCTAAAGCGGAAGTCATTCGGCCAGGCGCCTTGTAGGAGGACAGGAAAACAAACGCGAGTAAAAGCAATTTGGGTCTTTTAAAACGCTATTTACGTGCACACAGATGGCTGGGACGGCTTCAGTGGCAGGAGAAGTGTTTGTGGATGCTCTGCCCTACTTTGATCAGGGTTATGATGCCGCAGGAGTCCGGGAAGCGGTGAGTTTATGTAGCGTAACGCACAACAGCGGTGTTAGCTGCAGAATGCTAACAGCTAACACGAGTTCATTCAACACGCATGGATGTATTGACATTAGACTGAAATGATGAACGAGGAATATTTCTTGTAACTGTCCCCATATCAAATGTGCATAAGTGGTAGAGTGCGAGGGCTGCACGGTTTCATTGAAATATATAAGATAAGATAAGATGCACTTTATTAATCTCAGACAGGAGAGATTTACATGTCACGTTTGGCATGGATAGAAACACTCAGATTGTGCAGAAAGTAAGAAATGTGCAAACAGGACAGGACATATTATGTACAAAAAAGTGGCGATCAGAAAATGTCAATAGTTGTGCAGGTTTCTTTTCAGTCTTAGTGCAGTGACTTATTGTACAGTCTGACAGCGGTGGGGATAAAGGCCCTGCGGTAGCGTTTCTTCTAGGGTTAATATATTGCAAATTTAAAGATTACTGTTGCAAATTTACAATAAAAGAATACTATTTAGCTATTTCAAAGACACAGCGATTATTTGTTGTAAATGCATTGTCTGCTAAACAAAAAAAAACTACGGTGCATGGGGCCTCGTCCATAGTTTAACAACAAATAAAACGTCAAATGTCCTCTTGTATTTTTACTAAATGTATATAGTTTTGAGTTTACTAAATGGATATATTTTTAATTTTAGTACTTTATCAATATGTTTGACAACCATAATTGTGGTTCGACTTGTGATTTGTTTGATATGTGCACAAAGATAATTCAATCTTGAGGAAAAACTGAAACCTAATAAAGTTGTATTTCTAAATTTGATGATATTTAAAAGACAATCAAGTTCTTACTTAAAATCACTCTATGATTAAATTACATTCAAATTAATGTGGAATACTTCCTCAATTTAATTATTTTTTAGCCAATGTTAGGGAAATCTTCTATTTAAACTACATGTGCTGCTGGAACTACTACTAGTTCCAGCAGCACATCAATTATACTTGCGATATCAGCACAGTCTGTACAATACTTTTATAACATGTATTGGGGGAAACAAATAGAAAATAGTTAGGAAACTCAAATATTTAGCGGGAAGATAAAACATATTTTAAGGGCAAAGTCTGTCTTGTGTGACTTTAATGAAAATCGATTTAAAATCGACATCGTCCAAAGCAGGAAGTAAAATCGAGATTTTACTTTTTTGCCATATCGCCCAGCCCTACTACAGGGGCATGATATCAGCATTGAGTACATCTGAATGTTGTTGATTTAGGCAGCAGCACTTGTGGAAGAAGAAACGAGAAGATACAGACCCACAAAGAACTACCTGAGCTATCTCCCTACACCAGACTTCTCTGCTTTTGAGGTAAATTCATTACTATTGGTAGTAACTTTACCAATCTGTATGCACACTTAATAGTTCTGTTTGTTTATGCCTTAACTTTTTACAGACAGAAATAATGAAGAATGAATTCGAGAGACTAGCAACTCGACTACCCATGGAGCTCCTGAGCATGAAACGGTTAGTAGAAATATCTTTTGGGATAAGCTTTTAACCTTTATGCTCCTCAAGTCAAAATGACCCGCCACAGTGATGTAAAAGAAGAATATGCCTTCCATTAGGGTCTATATGACCCAGGGCTCGTCAAGTGAGGAAATATCTCTGAAATTCAGCTTGATATACTTTGGGTATCTTAAACCGAGTAACGGCTTGAACGGGGTGGAAATGTGCTTTCTGTCAGATTTAAGATCATAGAAAAAAAACTAAACTATCTGAAATGCCTTGTTATAATAACTATATAAAAATAACATAAGCAAACAGTTGGCACTATTAATGCAGTGATCTGATCAGTGTGTGTGCTATGCTGTCAATGTTATTAAAGTATGTATGCAACCCTTCTTAATTAAATACATTGTAAATGACCACTGTGATGTCATGATTTTCAAGCACATTTTTAAAACTATTATCAGAATACAATATTTTCACAAGTTAACAAATTATTTTTTGTTTAACTTGTCCACTACAACATGATTTGGTACCATTAAAAATATTATGTTAACACCAGCATGTTTTTGTTTACCATAAGGTTGGGTTGTACACTGGCTTGTCAGTCCTAGGTTTTCTCTGCTCTTGGAGCGTAGACAGTTTACACTTAACCAAACTAATGTTATCATCTTAAACTAATGATTTAGTTTAACTTGGTAAAACTTTCATAACATCTTATCTGAAATGACGTTGAAGGTATGAGTTGCCAGCGCCCTCTTCTGGTCAGAAGAATGACATCACAGCGTGGCAGGAGTGTGTGAATAATTCTATGGCTCAGCTGGAGCATCAGGCTGTTCGCATTGATAACCTCGAGCTCATGTCGCAGTACGGGACCAATGCCTGGAAATTCTACAATGAGTGAGTAGCTGCAACTTGAAAACATGTGTGTGTGATAATGAAAATGAGGACTGTTGGCATAGTGAGCAATATTTCAAATATTTGTTTTAATTATTTATTAATTACATCTGTTCAGGAGGCTGAAACCTATGAGAAACTCACTTTTATTTATATCAGTTTTAATACTATGTATGAAGGAAATTCAATATATCCATGAGGAAGAATTGAAAAAGTATAAAAAGGAAAATGGGAACACTTTTGCCTGAATCCTTTTGATAGGTAACATTTGTGAAGGTGAAATAGTTAGAATAGAAGAAATAAACTAGTTAAAGAAGCCCAGCGCAAATGGAGCCTAGAATGTTCTGAGGTGTCTTTGACTAAAATGCGTTTGAATCCTTGATTTGATCTCACCCAATTTATATTTTTCTACAATGAAACTAGTATGGAACAACAGTACTCTTTTTCAAAGGTGTTACTAAAAACAACATTTGGACTTGTGACTTATCAAAATGTAGTTGGAAACTTGTATTTGTTTATTTGGTTTATATATTTCCTCCAGTAATTGCTGAGGCAGGAGATTAAAATTAAAAGGCCTTCTGCCAAAACCTTCAACAAAATCTCTGTTGCCTCTATTTAAAAACCTGTTAAGACACGTTGGGACTTTCACGTTTTTTACAATATCTGATTGCAAATATCTTTTTTCAAACAGCAACCTGGCTTTTATGATTGAGATTGCGCAAAAGGAATTGCAGAAATTCAGGTAAAGACTCTTCTATCCTTCTAGACATTTAAAGTGGTTGAATTTTCACCATTATTATTTTTTTCTTTTTTAGGAAGCAAATTCAAGATCTAAATTGGCAAAGGAAGAATGATCAGCTGAAAGGAGGAGCTAAACTGCGAGAACTGGAGTCAAAGTATGTCCTACAAATACTTGTGTTACTGGTACGTGGTTTGGTCTGATGCGTTTGTGTCTCTGCAGCTGGGTGTCGCTGGTCAGTAAAAACTACGAGATCGAACGTGCCATCGTCCATTTGGAGAATGAAATGGCTCAGCTCAAACAGCAGCAGGGAGACGAGAACAAGGAGAACATTCAACAGGACTTTTAAGTGGGACTCGAGCCATTTTGTGGCTGAATTATATATTTTTACTGTCACTTGTACATAAAACATTGTCTTTTGTATAATTTCAATAAACAAAAGGAAATTTGGATTCATGCCTGTTTTGAAATGCTGCACATAAATTGGTTTGTTGTATCCTGATTATATCTGACCATGTACTTGTATTCAGGTTTCCGTTGTAATGTGACTTTTTAATGCAATTCTTTGACTTAACCACCCAAAATTGCAGAAATCTTTTACGTAAGAAATAAACTGTATGAGATGTTGGACAGAAAATGTACCCTCAAAGTTCCACATTTCCTAAATTTATCATTAATGTCTTATCAAAGATGATGAATTCAACACATGCATGTAGCAGTGAGGACCGCATTTCTTTCAAGAATAACGATTTTCTGAAATTCAAAGAAATGTAGTCAATGGATCAGCCCTTTCATAAACTTCCAATAAAGGCACATGTATGATCAATGATCTGAGAGCCGGTACACAGAAGGAACATAGGCCACGCACTGCAGGTTATTGCCAGAAATCGGTTAAAATACAATTCGAAAGACACATGTTTTGCAAATTACCAGAAAGTGCTTTATGCCATCTTTTACCTACAAACATATCAAAGAACAATACGAACTCAATGTTGCCAGTATAACCAAACCAAAACTCACTTATTCCTCAGCACCCCTCTCTCATCCTCGCAACTTCGATAACAAAAAATCAAAACAGATTGAAACATAATACCATGGCAGTAATTAGACAAACGCCCCTGATGCATGGCAAAGCAAGGACCCCGGGTGGAAAAGGCATTGGTCTGCAGGCACCTCGATACCGTCTGAAGAGAAACCGCGGGATTCTCTTGACGTGACTCAGGATGTGCAAAATGTTGTAGCATCGGCGCCACCTTCATTTGGAGCAGCAGTGAGGGACCCAGCTTCATAGGCTCAAAGTGTTTATGGCCGGTACTAAAGTCACAGCGTCGGGCAAGTTCTGGTTCTGGTTCTGTAGCCCTTTCCCCTGGAGAACCTTTTGACGGTGACGTTCCTCTTGCCGCTTCTTTTTTTCCAACCGCTGATGCTCTTTGCGTTGTTTGTTGGACACCTGAAAGGCAATCGGACAAGCGTTTAAAAGTTTATAATGAATGACACCGACTCCCTGTTCCTTACCGCATAAAATACCTCCTCGCCGACAAGAGACCTGGCCCCTTCATACCTCACTGACCTCCTCCATCACTGTCCCACCCGCCGCCTCAGATCCACAGACTCAACCTCCTCCCACCAGAACAAAATGGGGGACCGAGCCCTTGCTGCAGCTGCCCCCACTCTCTGGAAATCCCTCCCATCTCACATTAGGAACTCTGACTCACTACAGAACTTCAAATCACTTCTCAAAACCCACCTGTTCAAAACTGCCTACACTTAAAATAAAAATCTAAAAATAAACAGTTTTTTTTCTGTGAAGCGTCTTTGAGTGTCCAAAAAAGCACTATATAAGTACAATGTATTATTGTTCCTGTTTCCACTAGCCCTACTCCTTAACTAGGCCTAACTATTTCACTGCCAGAGAGCTGTTGGAATCCACGATTACAAAGGTATTACTATTTACACAGGTACAGGTTGCAAAGATATAGAACTAGATACAAAAGTGTAATGAGTAAGTCGGGCTGGTGAAAACGGCTTTAGATCTGACAAGCTGATATTTTCACTCGATACCTGTTCACAATTGTTTTTTGTATTTAGAAGGAGCTAGATCACATAATTCACCTCATAAAGGTTTGAGTATTTTGAGATTGAAATAAATACATTATATAAACCTTTCAAAAATATCTATTTTAGAGTTTGAAGACATACGAGGTGACCCATACGTGGTAAACTAAGGTCTATACATTTTCTATTTAGTAATTTTTCAAGATTTAGCCAAGCTTTAATTGTCTGCATCTACCAGAAGAAGAATTTATAAGTTTTATCTTCTAAAAAAACAGAATGATTAACTCTGAAACTGATGAGTCATATTTTTGTAGTCAGAATTTGAGATAATTTTTTTTAATGCAGTAGTAAATGGAGTCGTGCCTTTAGCTTCTGTGCATTGTTGTCCTCTGCAGGAGGTCTGGGCTCGCTCTCCTCAGACGGGATGTTAGTGCAGTTGGAACAGGAGCCAGAGGAACATTTACAGCCCTGAGCCCCCAGGAGCCACTCTGTGTTGATGGTCGCAGCAGTCAGCTGGAACAGGTTCTCCTCATCTCCTGCAATATTCCACAGAAAACATAGACTTAGATCCACTGCATTGTCACAGTAGCTTGCATAGTATTCCACAATAATAAAAAAAGTAACAACCTGAAAATAAGAATAAAAATAAGATAATATTGTGAGAATAGAATAGGTACTAAGGAATATACATATCTGTGAATATGTACACATTTACAGTATAAAATACAGAGATAATAGGATAGTACACAGCTGTTAATATACAGTTATAAAAAACCTTGGTATATTGCTATTGTCAATGAGTAAAACAGATTTGCAAGTGGGTAAGCGAAAGTAACAAGTGATACAGCTATTTATATTAGAATAACTAAAGTATTGTCCTGCCATCAATTCCAAAGGATGGCAAAAAAAACAGATTACAATTTGATACACTCAAGATTAAGGCATCCTTTATTTGTCCCACAGTAGAGAAATGTGGGTGTTGCATCACAAGTTACAGACAGTAGGAATGAGGAGCGCACAGCACAAGATAAATTAATAATAAAACTATACTAAAATAAAATAAAATCTAGAATACTAACCTGGTATTCCTCTGTTGCGGAGGGAGCTGAGGATGAAGCTTTCGTCATCTGAAGGAGAAAAGTTCTGATGTTCTCTCTGACAGTCACCAAATTCACGCTTATGACCTTTCTGTAGATTCTGGAAATCACAAAAACCAGAGAAAAAGGACATTCAAATGTATTTTCCTTTACACGTGAGACACTTTACAAGCATATTACAAATAACTGAAAAGTACATTGCTAAATATCTACACGATAGTAGTCAGTAGGGATGTAAAAAACTATGAATTTTCATGACCGACCACCAAGTCTCATTAACCGGTTGAAACCGGTTAACCGCGTAGTTTTAAATATTCCACGTTCTTTGAAATAACAGCCATTTCGAGCCGCGTACTTTCCATAAGTGATGCTCTGCGTTCTACTGGATCAGAGCCGAGACAGCGGCGCCAAAACCCACAACAGCTTCGGCACCTTTGCGCACAGAGAACTGCTTTTTTAATCTTCCCATTCTTCTGTGCTAAAGCTCTTTAGCAGCAAACGACGGCTCGTTCACATGGTCAGAGCAGCGAGTGACGAGCCGCGTCTCGCAGGTCTCCGCTAAAGTCTAAATATAAGTGATGTGTGTGGAGCTGATCTAATGACAAGGACCAGCAGCACAATCATGTTCCATGTGGTTTGACTGAAGCCGCGTATTTGGGCTACGTGACACAGAGGAGCGTGACAGACCGGTATGTGTGTATATGTATGTGTGTGTATGCTCCAATGTAGTTCTAACCCGCACAAGAGTATGGATGATGCGTGTGGATGTTACGTATGAATGGAACGGGGAAAAGGTGCACGAGTGTGAAATGGCACTTGTGTGTGCGTGCGTGTATGTGTGAATGTGTGTGTATGTGTGTGTGCGCGGCGCGTGCGGAATGAGAGTTGGCTCGGAGTTTAATACATTGGCGCACACAGCTAGAGACAGACCCGCTCGTCACATCGTGCAAATAGAGTTCAAAACAGCGTTATTAAGAGACCTCCCCTCTCCCCTTTTTCTTTTTTTAACCGACAGCTTTACCGGTTAACGCTGTGACGGTCAACCACCGGTTAACTGGTCACCGATTTACATCCCTAGTAGTCAGCGATGGATATAACGGCATTGAAATAAACTGCGTTACTAACACTGTTACTTTTCAGTAACGAGTAATCTGACTAATTACTTTGACTGTAACTAAGGCCGTTATCATTGCCGACACCCCGTTACTGCACGTTACTCAAGTCGCACAATGGACTTTTTTTAAAACATCATGATAGGACTCGTGCGTGTGTTGTCATGAGAGAAAGGAGGATGAGATAACCTCTCAGCAATGATGTATAGTAAGATTACGTCTTCAGCCAATCAGAGAAATTGCGTAGGTGGGTGTTTTGGCATTCACAGAGGCGAGTGTTTAGTGCTTACAGCACACAGGAGGGGGGTTACGGGGGCAAGAAACAAACAAACAAACAAACGATTGCACAACAACAATAATCTGTGTTACCTGGATTTAGTAATCACTCCTGTACCTCTATCCGTAGTTGAGTAGGGCCTTCTGTGTTGTCCCCAATCGTCCTCACGCTGTCATAATGGTCCCCGTATCGGTAAGCAATGTGCAGTTCTCTGCACAGCATTTTTTCAGAGCCATTAATCTGAAACAAAATGTCATGGTCACTGTCTGCGGATACAGATCAGGAAGCCAAAATATGGACATATGTGACTACCTCCCAGAGCGGAGTGTTCAGTTGGTGGATCACCACTTTGACTTCTTGGCTACGTGCAAAGGCAACAATGGCATCATTTCCTGCAAAAGTTCCAGGCTGGGACAGGTTGGAGACTGTAAAAAAACATAACATATTGTTGGAAAACTTTTGTGGTATTTTATTTTGCACTGAATTCTTCTAATAGTTATTATTTGACCATTGCAGTATAAAATGGGTAAATTTGTGCCCATAACAGTGTTCACAGAAGTTTTTCTTTATTACTGCATGTCTTCAATTAGATTGTGCCATGTTTGATTGAGCTCAAGTCCTCAAAGTATAGATTATAGAAAATGTAGAAAATGATTTTCTACTTCTACAATAATAACTTTATGATTATGTCTCCATGTTCATCCATTTATTTATTTTTATAAATGATTTGAGATCATGTATAGGGGCGGAAGTGAATACAGATAATATGCATATTTAGTATATTTAAACAGGTTCTAATGTGCTCCTTTTCTTGTAGCGCGGTTGCTCAGTGGTGGTGTTCTTACGGTGCTTCTCAAAGGGGACGTCATCCTCCACAAAAGGCTCAAAGTCATGACGATGTGACTTCATGAAGTCCACAGTCTCCTGCCTGAGTCTGAGGTGAGCGCGAGAGTGGCCTTCCAGCTGGTCACCGAGAGCTCGAAACAGACAGTTCCTGTAGAGACACACACAGATGCACACGCACGTTCATGTCAGTGCTGAACCTGTGCTGCAGCCTTTATAGGATTCAAATAAGGCCGCACATCCCAGTAGCCTGGACTAGCGTGCTGGATTCAAAAAGAGTGCAAAACGTGAAAAATCCCCAGAGCAGTGTTGCTCCCAAGTGTCTTATTTACAGAAGTAACGTTTCAGGCTGAGGCCCTTCATCAGACAGCTTCACATGAGAACCACAGTTTGGGCCTAACTTAACCTTTGGAGCAAAAAATAATCCAAAAGTTTGTTTTACCCATCACCAGGGACCTCGCGGAGTTTGAGCCCCAGCGCCTGAAGCTGATTAGAGAAGCTGAGAAACTCTGCTCCTTCGTCTTCCTGCCCTTTGTTTTTGCGGTCTTTTGCTATTGCACGGCGTGCGGCTCTCTCGTCCCTCTTACGCTCCAAGTCGCTCTTCTTGTTCGTCCGACCAGGTTTTGGAGTTTGCTTCCGTGACATAGCTGCAGTGATAGTGGCAGCCTTGATAATTTTCTAAAACAAAGGAAACGTGATGGCAGCACCTGAAACAGATAATGTTGAAGTCGTTGTTTCAAAGTGTCCGTGCAAAAATACTGCCAACATCAGCACCAGATTTATTATAATAACTATAATTAACTATTGATGATTGAGTCACCTAGTAATTATACCTTTTGATTTTATATATTTTCTTTCTCAATCTGGCCCAGAAAAAGCTGAAGTTAAGCTACTGGATGACAATTTAGGGAGATGGTTTCGAGTTGTATCATTAAAAAGAGTTACACATTCACAAACTCTGATTATCTTATTATGAAGTTACTGGCCAGTTCTATTTTTCTGAACAGACATGTGTTGGAGTCTGTAGGCTATAATACAAATTAATTTAGGTTAATGAGGTTGCGGCTGCAAGACGTAATCGAAGAGTATGGAACATAAAGAAAATCTCAAAATGCTCCAGACAAATATATATGGAGCGTTTCAGTTTCCCCAAGACATCTCCTAACACTGACATGCCAATAATGCCTCTTAACCGTTTTAGGTTAGCAAATAGCTAACTCCTGTTGGCGAGTTAGCATCATAGACTGTATAGTTAGCATCCAAGATAATGCTGACTATAACAAAATAAAACCTGGTTATTCTCACATTAACTTGATTCATACACATTCTTGAATTAAGGACGGAGTTTGTCATTTAATCTTTCACGCTAGTTGCTTACCTCCAGTCAAGCTGTCCGAGAGACTGAATACTTCTCGGCTTCAAAGGAGACCTGATGATTGTCACTTTTGTTTACAATCGAACTTCCGCATACGCACTTCCGCTCCAGACATCGCGGACCGGAAAAAGAAAAGTACAATTTAAAAGGAAATAGGTAAAGATATATAATTTTGCTCAAATGTGCTCCATCTGCCATGTTTTATGTACATATGACTTTTTTATATTATATTATTAATTTGAATACCGTTTATAGTATTTACATAAAAGAAAACAAATCAACAATAACAACTTTCAACCCAAAAATCCGATGGAGTGCACAGCGCATGTTCTGTACCGAATACTGGTAACGTTAACACAATAATAACAATGTTAATCATCGAAATAATTGACTTGTTAATTCGATTCACAATCAACTCTTGGGCACAAGAAATGCCATGAAGAAGAATATTTACTTTGTTTTTGTTGTTGTGCGTATACAGTCACCTGCGTATTTCCTTCTGACATGATCAAGTTCAGAGAAATGTGAAATGTGAAGAAACCTTGCAGAATAACATCTATAGACTTCTATAAGGTTACTCACGCCGTGGAGTATGCCCACAAGAGGGTGCTGACTTGTGAAGACTCTTGTTTTATTTCAACAAAAAGACAACTGAAAGATGTGTAGACGTATTTTCTAATTAGCTTTGCATTGGCCCCTGGTCTGCAAGGCCTGCTCTGTATTTGGCCACAGAGTGAAAATGTTTGGACGCCTCTGTTCTAAAGACAAAGAGCATAATGAATCATACAGAGAAATGTGGTCGTAGAATGGACAAACATTTGAAACAAAGAATTGTAAATAATTCAGTAAGTTGAGTATTTAAATTCAAATATTTCAGCAAAGATTAGTCACTGGGTCAGCCCTTTCATAAACTTACAATGGAGGCACATACGTGATCAACAATCTAGAGATCTGAGAGAAAACTCCATGTACTCAGGCCACATTTAATTGGCATCAATTATTAGAAAGTCCTTTTTGCTGTCTTTTGCCTACAATCATATCAAATATTTATCCAAAACCAAAGCAAGAGTTTCCCAATTCAAAGCTTATGCCTCATTCAATCATGTGTCGTTTTCAGGACAAATATTATTCATTTAGATTTTTTCTTAATTTGAATAACCATACATGATGGTCACATTGTAAATAATAATGGAAAAAATAATAACAATGCAGGAGTGACAGTGGCTCAGTTGGTGGAGCATTGGCTTTCGGGCCAATTGGTTGTAGGTTTGATCCCCCCACAACACCTTCTCCATCTGCTCTCACTGAAGTCTGCTGTCGTTGTGTCCCTGGGCAAGACACTCAACCCAGCTCTGCCTGGAGCCCCGTTGTAAGACCAAGGCTGCCCCGCTTTATAAGTAAGTAAGTCATTTTAAATTATTAAGCGCATTAAGACCTACACAGACACCGGAAGAACATGCCACCTCCAGGCTGTGGTTGCCAGGTTTCTTGTTGAAATCCAGCTGGTTTCCTCCTAAACCTCAGAACAGCTTCATGTGCATGTGCTCTATGCAGGTAAGATAAAGAGCCATGGAATACATGATTTACGTGTAATATTTCACACACAAAAAATACAATAAAGCTAAAAAACTCCTGTTTCTTTATGTGCTGGAGTGCCAAGGAAAGCATGCAGCAGAATGTCATTAGTAGACAGTAAATGTAACCGTGGCGTTATTTGCAGCATCACATCTGTTCATCTTTAGACTCTTTACTTCAGCCTGTGAATACCTCCTGGAGATTTTAATTAGACTGAGGTCCAGCCTGGATCTCCTTCTGCACCAAGTTATGGGATGTATGGGCTGTGACCGTGCAAAACGAAATGTTAAAACACTTTTATGCATAAATACATTGATGGTGTAAAGTGTAGTCCAAAAGATACACTAACATTGTGGTAAATATTAAACATGTCAAGTGGTTACCAAAACTCAATAATTTGTTTCATGAATGTGATTGCAAGTCCCTGCTGTATCTCAAAGTACATATAGTCAACATTATCATTATAAATGATCTCAGTTTGGGGCATATTCGTATGTGTCTAATTCACTTTCTGCTTGTATATGGTGACATCACACAGAAATTGGCCAAAACTCTTCAAATCGAGCTTTTGTTTCGTATAGTATAGTAGCTTTGTTTTTGTTGAATAGTAAACTGTTTATTATAAATTAGACCAAATATTATGATGAACTATGAATTTACCTCCAGGTGGCACCGGTTTTAGAATTCTGATCTACTTCCTGTGAATGTAAACATGGACACTGTGGATAATGATAGATCACAGGATGGAATAGGAAACTCAATGTGAAAATATTTGAAAATGGTTATAAAAACAGTGTCAAGCCTTGCCTTCTGCAATGTATTTTGATATTGCCAAACTCAGATCTGAAGGAAGGATATTAAGGAGGCAGTATGTGATGTTAAACTTAGTTGTATACATTTTTGTTACTGTATTATTGTTGTATTTTATTCTTTGTGTGTATTTGTACAGGATTAGCATGATACACACGTACTTCAGACGTCAGCAAACTGTTAAATACATTCAAAGAAAGAAAGGAAACACTAGACCAAAAATGAGCTAACATGCTATGGCACTTTCTATAACCTCAGCCAAAAGTTCAAGCTGCTTGGTAGCTGTCCATGGTTCTGAAAATTGAAAAGTTGAATTGATGTTTCCACAGTCTTTGTTTTTATACATTTAATGTTGTAACAGTATATGCTGAGCTTCAGAAACTCCAAATCGGGTCCAGATGCTCCATTCTTGTAGAGTGCTGATAAAAGCATGTTCACAGCTAAAAGCTACAACCCATTTCACTCTGTTGCAGTTGGCAGATTTCTATGTCACTTAAAAAGCTGTTTTATGTTTACCCTATATGCTAAATCATCTATTTGTTTATGAAACATCGATTTGAAAACTCAAATATGTTTATGTTCATGACTTAGTACATACATAAAGTACATAGTAATTCAAATCATAGTCATTTTTATCCCAATGGATGCATGTTTCCCTATTGCTGGTTTTAATTGGTGAATTTTCAGGAGAGGGGCCTGCTGTTTATTGCTTCAGTACTAACCGCTACAGACACTGTCTTCACTTTTTCAAGTCAACTCTACAGGTTTGTTTTTCCTATTTGTTCCTATTTCCACTGCGCCCGATACAGACACATGCATTTACATCCACGGACTCTAAGGACAGAGCCAAAACGAGGCATTGCGCAGAATCCGACAACGCTGCAATGTCTCCACGAAAAGAGAGTGCGGCGTGCGTGCGTGCCTGAGTCTGTATGTGCGTGAGCGGGTGGGGGTGTCCAGAGGAGCGCCTCAGCTGGTATAACGGGGCTCGCTGCTGCAGGTATCTGGCTGTAAATACACGAGCCAGGGCCCTGGCTTCGCACACTAGCCTATATCTGCCTTCTTACCTACAGGCGCAGGCACGCGCACACGCACTGGTGGGAGTGGATGGTTGAATGGTTGAATAGCTGGATACTGGATTCACGATGGGATAATCACGCGTGAGAAGCGAGTTCCCGGGCGTTGGTGAAGCTGTGGCGGGATTCGGTTTGGACTATCTTGGAACGAAGGAGGAATGTGAGTCTAAATCGAGTTCGACCGGAACCTACAGAAGAGAGAGGAGGGAGCCGGCTGATGCTGCAGCAAGTGACAGCGGGGAAGGTTTGGCGATTCAAGGCACTGGACTCCGAGGAGGTCTTTGGTAGGAATCCCCCCGCTGCTCGAGGCTTCTATCCCGGATGGATGCTCTGCATTGCAAATTAGGATCGCTTTTGGGGGAACAAAACCACCAGTAACTCACCGTATTCACGACTAGAGAGTATCTTAGGTTGATTTTTCGTGTATTGTTTTTTTGCTTTTGCATGGAGAGAGCGCAGTGAGGGCCGTACGAAAGAAGGAGGGCGGCGGGCGGCTCCATGAGCGGCTTGGGCACCGCATGCACCGCCGCGCTCAAGCTGAAGCCCCCGGGCCACGGTACGCGCCCGCTCGCTTCTGAGAGTTGATGCATATGATCACAACCACCATGATTTTTATGATTCTGGGCGCTTCAGTTGTTATGGTAAGGCCAGGGCTAATATTGTAAACGCCATAACATGAAGATTAGGCGATGTATTTGCATATGACTACATTGCCCATATGTTGTGCTTCTTTAGGCGATCGCCTGTTTAATGGACATGAACGCCTTACTAGACCGCTTTCACAACTATATCCTGCCGCATCTGCGAGGCGAGGACCGCGTCTGTCACTGCAACTGTGGAAGGTAAGCACTCACGAAGCTCTATTCTTTTTTTTTTATTTTTTCCACGAACAGACGCACGTATGTCTTCATCTGTCCATCCATTCATTCGTTCCTCTACGCGCGGCACACCAGGCGAAAAATTGACGCGTCGAAACTGCCAGCTGCATGGATCTGAAATCTCAGATTCGTATTTAACAAATGTGAGCGCTAAGATGCCGTTCAAAACAGTAGTAAACATCAAGTGGTTTCAGTCGTGCACTGAGTGGCACACTTGCTGTTTTGAAACGTATTGTTGTACTGCTTTTACGCACTCTCCAACCTGCTGCTTCTGATGATGTGGCCAGAATATAACGCACAAAATGCCTTCAGTGTAATTGGGGGGAGGCTGCGGGCTCCTCTGGCCCTGATCCTCTTCTCTGATTGGCTCATCCTCACCTCGCGTTCAGAGCCATTTGACCAGATTGTTACCGGTGGTGTGACAGAAACACCTGCGCACAGTGATGAGTCAGGGACGAGTCAAGAATGTGGAACAAAGTTACGCACGCTGTTAGCAATCTCAAATATCTGTGTGCATGATACTTGTAATAGCCTTCGTTATACTGAAACTTCTCCATTGTACGTCATTCTAAAACTTCCCCATTGTACGTTTTTTCTAAAACTTCCCCATTGCCTTTTATTTGAGACAATTTTGTAGTCGTTTCACAAGGTTTGGACATTAGACAGGCTAAAAGAATTAAAACACTTTTGAGCTATTGCCAATGTAGAGTTTTTTGTTAGTTGTGACTGAGAATATGAGCCCCCAATGAGAGGTTTCTCATGTATCAACCTTGTTTATACTCCTTCCCTATTTGTTGATAAACACATAATGGGACAATGCTTTCTTCAATATTTAGTTTATCATGCCTTATCTATCTCTTGTTGGTGCACAAATTGATATAATAAATGGATCCGCTTGGAGGAGCAAAAACATTAAATAAAAACGATGATAGCCTCTGTGAAGATAAAACATTTCTTGTAATACATTGCTTTAGAAAAAGTATTATTGAGATGGAAATGTGCTGAACACTTGTGCTCTGTCCCAAAAACAGTCCTATTGATTTCTGCCCAGAACATCATTCCGATGACGGCTGACAGACAACATGTGGGAGTTGTTTGCGTAGGTAGAGAACATTAGTCCTGCATGGGCCTCCTACACTTACTTGTGCTATAGCTCAATGTAAAACATATCTGAAGGAGATGAATGAATTAAAGCTGGGGTACCTAACTTCCCCCATTACAAATATACAGTATATACATTGTGTTTGTTCCAACTGCTCCATAAGCTGTCTATAATTTGAACTTGAAAGAAAGATCCCTGTGAGTCATGTTTTTAGACACTTTGGCCTGAAGTGGGAGCAGTCCTCTCTTTGTCACTTTTCTGTTCTTAAAATCTGGTCAAAAAATATGAGGCCAAAAAATGTATATATGTGATAATAGATTTATATAATACAGTTTTGAGGTAAAGTAATTTTTATGTTTTCTTTTTCATTTGGCAGCATACAAATGATAATAATCTTAATCTTGTTATTTGATAATGTCCACAACCCCATAATTTAAATGGCCTTTTCACATGAATCAATTGTTAAATCTTGGCCTGTCACAATAATAACTATGTCGATTTCTCGATTAATAACAAATGGATGGACCAATATATTTCTAGTCTCAATGTTTTTGGTCTGCACATTTTCTATGCAACAGTGAGAAGATATTTACTATACAAAATGAGCCAAATAAGTCACTATATAAACATGGCCAATCGGTTCTGTTCATGTTCGAGAATTCTATATGCAAGAAGCAAAGATGTTGAAAAAAATGTCCAAATGTTTTCTCAGATTATTAGTTGACTGTTACGAGATTCACAAACGGCCAAATTATTCCAATCAAAGCCCTTTCTTCTGGCCAACATCATGCCTATATTTTTAAAATATGGTTACCACTTATAAAGAGCTATTGTGACCTTGGTCTGTTTAACAAATAAAAAAATGAGACCATAGTCATTAATGACAAAGAATACGAGGGTCTTTGTGACAGTTTTTGTTTTGTTTGGATTACCAGGATTTCCATAGAGATAGATCTACACTGTCACACATACTGTACTTAACTAGGACTGGTTTTTCAGCTGCCCTCCTCCACAATTTTAAACCACAGACTCTATTGAAATGATCTGAAGTCACATGAAGGCAACCTATCCTGCTGTTAATTTGTTTAATCTGATTTTCAACAATAAAGACACATGCACAAATCCTGCTGCGTTGTAATGACCCCACAAATATTCTCTATAAATGTGTTTCTGTAACAGGCCTAAAGCACAAAAAAGTCTTCTAAAAACTGAAGCTTGTAACTAGTCTAGCGGAGAGTTGATGTTCTTAGCCTGGATTATTTCAAACAACATGAAAAGACTGCTCTTCTCTCTCTTCTCTCTCTCTCTCGTTCATGAATCTCCATAGACTCGTGCAGGTTGCCCATAGCTGCCTTACTCCAGTTACCATGGCAACGGGAACTACAATATATAATTTCAAGTTAGTTTGTTAGTTGACACTCCAGGCAACACAAGATAATTCGGTTTTATAAAACTCAGAATCAGAGGTGGCAAATCACTGGTCTGCTCTAAGGGCTTGGTATTTGTACTTCACTAGAGACAGTTTTTCACTTTTACTACTTAACTTTTATGGAGATATTTGTACTTTAATGTTTCTGTACTCCACATTTGGATGCGTTTGTTAATTTAAGAAGCTTCTCAGAGGACGACACGAGACAGACAAATGTGAAAGTCAAAGCGGCAGGAGAAATTTATTTATGAACTAAAACCAGTTTGATGTGGTTAGCAGTGCCTCTAAGTTAGTTAATTCATTGTGGTTAGCCATGCTTCTAAGTGAGTTAATTCATTGTGGTTAGCCATGCTTCTAAGTGACTTCATTCATTGTGGTTAGCCATGTTTCTATGTGAATTCATTCATAGTGGTTAGCAGCGCCACTTAAGTTAATTCTTCGTGGTTAGCCTTGCTTCTAAGTGAGTTCATTCTTTGGGTTAGCCATACTTCTAAGTGAGTTCATGCATTGTTGTTGTTATTATTGTGCCAGGTTATAGCAGGTTATAAAATGCTAATTTCCACCTGTAGTCCCTGGGCTGATGTTATATTCAGTCGTCATGAAAAAGGCTTTTTTAGTCAGAAAAGTGAAAAGGAGAGAACCCTCACTCGGCCCAAAGTGTCCAATAGTGACTCACAGGGGTTTGTAAGTGGCATTATGAAATGTTTTATAATAAGGCAAAAACAGTATGTTGCCTGATTTGTACACAATATTTTTCTTTTGGGACTCTTCGTGCTGGAAAAAGTCTTAAAAAATTAAAAAAGTTTAATACCCCAGTTTTAAAAATAGCCACTCTCTTGTTATGTTTATTTGCATAGAAAATCATTTGCAAAAACACAATTTAAAAAAGATAATAATCTCAATACATGGTAAATATATGCATTATTTTTTGGTTGAAGACTTCCTACTTAGCATGTTAGCTTCTCTTTTCACAGCACAACAATTCCTTGATGTGTCGTGACATTTCTCTATCTGGGGGAAAAATATACTAAATTCTTTCTGTTTCACTTCATTAGTCCGATTCCGAGTCTATGTACATGGAGAATTCTGGCTCTATTCAGCCATGAACGATGTGCCATGTAAATGAGAAAAGAAATAGGCCTAGCACACCATCCCATAGTTTACAGTAGATGCACTTTTAGGCCTTCGCTCTGGAGCTTTGTCTGAAGTGACCTGGAAACAACAGCGGAGGCCATCTTTCCTCCATCTCTGACTGAGTTTTTCTTCTTGAACGCAAACTCACACAGAAATAGTGGTCGATAATGAGTTTAGAATGTGTTTTTGTATTTTTTTGTCTTGTCTTCCTGTTTTGTTTGTTTTTTTTTCAAACTCTTCCCAGGCTAATGGGAGGAGCGGTGTGATGAACCAGATTTTTGTTGGGAAGTGCAATGAATTATTTATTCATTTTCAAATTATTTTTATATCACTGAAAAGCACTTTATCCTCTTGGCTTTAAATAGAAGCATGAAAGTGGAAGGAGCGATGGCATCGTTTTGAAGTTGTTGTGGCCCGCTGGTTTTCAGTCAGGGGACATTTCACAGCTTTTGACTATGTTCTAGTTCTTTTCCCTTCTCATTCAACAGATTTTCAGTTCTGATATCAACCAATAATGATATTTATATAATAGCAGCTGGGAAAATATAAGAAAAAATGCTTCAATACATGTTTAGTCTAGTCCAGCCAACTCGCCAGAATAAAAAAACGCGTCCACAAATGGGACGACAAGCAGTGATGCATTTGAGATCCCAGGGGAAAGCTAGACTTGTATTAGAAAAGAATGTATTTGGTATGATACTCATTTTGTTTGGAGTAAATAGATAATTCCTTGCCGCACATGTTCTGTTGTTTTGTTAAGCAAAGTCAATGGTTTATGCTGCGTGCGTGTGAAAATCCAATGCCCAAAGTAAACATCATATTGTGTGATTACATTTGCTGATGATGTATGTAATAGAGCAATTTCACGGCATTTATCGATCACAGTTAAAGTTTGAAAATTACGAGGTGCCGTTGAAAGCATCCACCTGCAGAGCCATTATTGCACCCCCCCCCTGGCTCTCTGGTTTTACTTCCAGACTTCCCATTTGGATTCCCATCTGAATCTGTAACATGTGGAAGATTCGGCAGTGTTAAGCAGTCATCCTTGGTCAAATAGGAAAAAAAAATGCTGATTGTTAACTTTGTCTGTGATGGGAGTGGAGCCTGGCCTTCCCTTTGAGATGACCACGCTTCCACTCGCTCAATGAAGTCCAAAAGGGTCCCAAGTTTTGCTCCAATTGTTTTACCTTGAAAAGTACACTCCTCCAGCTCAGTTGTCACGTGGGGAAAATGAAATGAGCCCAAAAATAAACAAAATACTTGCAAAATAACGGATTTAATAAAAAGTAACACAAATCA